TTAGCACTAAGTCCTATGGGTAAGTTCTTTATCTATTCTCAACTGTGATATTTTACATTGTTTATAGGTGTTTACTGGACTTGCTGTTTCTACTCCCAAAATAGAGACCTGTGGTTCTAAGGTCATTTTAAATGTTCCTATTCTCCAGAATCTTCCAATATTTTAAATTACTATTTTTAGAGATATTGCTGTAGAGGGGATGAAGTTCATAGAAAAGGATGCCATAATCTCAGGCCACCTTCTAGGCTCTGAAAAACAATCTCTTTTCTGATTCCCAGCAAAATATAATGAAAGAAGGATTGGTTTCTAAATTCTGTTACTTCCTGGTAGCTTAGAACTCTTTTTTAGTTATAAGTGAAGATTCATTGAATCATATTAATAGAAAAAATAACTAGTTAACAAAACTTTATTTTTTTCTTGCCTTCTAAGTAACTTTACTTTTGAGGAATAGTAGGCATTGAGTACCTATTATATACTGTATACTCTGCTAGGCATTTTCAAAAACAGTATCTCATTTTTACTATGGCCTGCCTGGTAGCTATTATTATTCCCCACTTTACAGATCAGTAAATTGGCTCAGACACTTGTTAAAGGTTAAAGAGTTGGTAAGAAGTAGTGTCAGGATCTAAATCTAGGGACTTCCTATCTCCAAAGTACATACTCTTTCTACAACAATACATTCCCTTCTTTACTGAACAAATGCCTTTTCAGTGATTTGTCCTAAAATCATATCTATAAATAAAATGTTTGTAAATATAAATGTACTTCTATGAGAGAAGCTGTATAATTAAATGTACACAGAATAATTTTAAAAATAAAAGACATCCCATCTAAATCAATGTTGAGCTTTTAACCGTCTTCTAAATTCAGATTTCTTATTAGGATTGCTTAATGCCTCAGTTCTTCAGGATAATCATATGAAACAGAATAATAATTCTCAAACCTCTGTAAATATACAATCACAAAAAGCAAGTAAAACTTAAATTTAGTAAGATACATTTCAAACATCTCAAACATTCTAAACACTGACAAACACAAAATATGCCTTTATAATTAGTCCTTCTTTTTCAGTTCAGACTAGAAAGAGAGTGGGTTTGTGAGTGGCAGTGAGGAATTGGAAGAAAGGATATTGAAAGGGACAATGTTTTCTTTGTATTTACAGTACCAGAAATAATATGCATTCAGAGCAATCGTGATACATCTGCATCCCTCAAAAGTCCTCCCCACATGGGGAAGGTGATAAGTGTATGTTTTCCTCACAAAAAAAAGAGGGCTTTGAGAAGGGATCATAGGCCAACTCCCTCCCTGGAGGTGAATTCATTTTCAATGAATATGTTTTTTTTAATTGCCAGGACAAAAATCACTTCAATCTTTTAAAATGTTTTCTTGTAAGATATATCCTTATTGACAATATTTCAAACATATTCTTCCCAGTTGATATTTTTAGCAAAATGCAATTAAGGTTTAATTCATTGTTCAAAGAAAAATTTAAGACAAATCAGAGCAAAACTTCATCATCCTCTCAAGTTGAGTCTCTTTATTTCTCATCTCCACAATCAGCTAATTGAGTATATGATTTTTTTAATGTTAATTCATGGCCTGAGATTTATAATGAGCCATCTCCTTTATGCTTGACAGATCTTTATGGTCTAGACAGCTCCCTCCTAACAGCCAGTGGATCAAGAACCTAATAGGATGAGTTTTGTTGATTGTTTCCTTTGTTGTGCAGAAGCTTTTGATCTTGAATTTAAATAGAAATAATATTAATAATAAATAAACATTGAAAAAATAAAAATAAAATAAAATAAAAACTTTTTAAAAGAACCCAATAGGATTCATTTCCTAATAAAGCCCATAGTCCAGTCGCTGCATTTTTAAAGTATTGTGTAATTAGAATTATTACTATGATCACTAATTCAGGATATCTTTCAGCCTTAACAAAAATTAATCCAGTTTAAAATCTTTAAACAAGCTGAATACATTATAATGATCACCAAGGTCCTAATTAAATCTTTCCCTTTAAATTAGAATGTTGCTGTATAGGCTACTCTCTGCAGTAAATGGACTTTCAGCCAGGGTTTATAAATCTTTATATTACGGAGATTATGAGATCCAAAGGGAAAAAAAGATGTATGTACAATCTAAAAATTTAAAAGAAGGGAAAGAAGAACTTAGAATTTGGTGGGCTAATGATTTCTGGCTTACTTTTGCAATGCAGTTAAGTTCAAGATGGAAAATAAACAACAAAGATACTAAAACAATCAAGGATATGAAGATACTATTAGAAATGACTAGAAGTATTTTTCAGTTCAGTGGGAAAAAGAATAAAATTCTTTAAAATTCTGTAAAATTAGGCAAACTGTAGCTAGAATAAACATTGACTATGTCATTAAACCCCAGAATATTTACCTTTGATTAACAAAATCTATAAATTTAGGAGATGGTTAGCTTAAAAATGAGTCATGCAGTAGTAAACACAGTAGTAAACATGAAACAAAATACTCCCAAGAGACGGTATAAGACTAAAAATATTCACGTTTCAAAAAAACCAGCTTACAAACAGAATTTGTAAGGTTGGAAGCGTTGGTGGAAAAACATACTCTTCTCCACACCACACCACATCCCCCCCTCAAAAATAAGTGTCAACTGGTAGTACTGTCAGATATCAAAATACTAGGAACTCTCTTTCTCAGTACAAAAATGCTTAGGATATACTAACACTGATTTTCATTAGTAAATTGGAAATGAGTTTGTCTAGAATAAAATGTCAGCACCCGCATCTTATTAAATAAGCACTAGGGAGGAAAAAATACACAAAAGGTTCAGGAAGCATTATTCCAAGATTCTTAATGTTTTTATTTTGGTGTCAGAAGTTGAAAATATCAGACAGAAAGCACTAAACTGCAGCAACCCTTTTGACTTATAGTTACCTTCTTACCTAATGTAAGAATGTCTTGCTTTTTTACAACTTGTTATTCAGTTATGTGTGGATCAATATTTCAGAGGTCAAACCCTAAAGACACCAAAAGGTTTTCCTTGTAAAAAAAAAAAAAAAAAAAAAAAGTCAACTTTTAAGCAGGAAATCTTCCTGTAATGCAATTAACCATTCCTCTAAAGTATGGCTGGAACTAAGAGTGCCTTATCTTGATAAGATCAGAGAGAGTTTTTGCCTGTATTATCTCATTTGTTAGTAGTAATAGCCAATACTTATTGCACTACTTACCATGTTCCATGCACTGTACTGAGTGCTTTACTTAGATAGTATTATATAATCCTCATAACACTTCGGAGAAGTAGCTACTACTATTGCTCCCATTTTGCAGATAAGAAAGTAAAGTTTGCCCAAGATCACCTGGTTAGCTAGATATGAAGCCAGGATTTGAAACAGTCTGTCTGTAAAAGCCACGCTCCTTAAACATTTGCCTAGAATCTTTAAATTACTCTACAAAGTGGGCAGAGCAGTAGGTCTTTGGAGAGTAACTGATTGACCCAAATACACCCAGCTGGCAAGAATACTAAACCCAGGTGTTCTGACTCAGCTTTTAAGTTCAGTATCCTTTCGGGATGCCTGGGTGGCTCAGTCGGTTAAGTGTCCAACTTCAGCTCAGGTCAAGATCTCACGGTTTGTGAGTTCAAGCCCTATGTCAGGCTCTGTGCTGACAGCTTGGAGCCTGCTTCAGATTCGATGTCTCCCCCTCTCTCTGCCCCTCCCCTGCTCATGCTCTGTCTCTCTCTTTCCCTCAATTGTAAATAAACATTAAAAGTTTTTTAAAACAATAAAAATTTAAAAAATAAATTCAGTATCCTTTCTACTTCATTGAATATTTAAATGGGTTTTCTTTTTTTTTCTAATGTTTATTTTTTAGAGAGAGACAGAATACAAGCAAGGGAGAGGCAGAGAGAGAGGGAGACACAGAATCTGAAGCAGGCTCCAGGTTCTGAGCTGTCAGCACAGAACCTGACATGGGGCTCAAACTCATGAACCATGAGATCATGACCTGAGCTAAAGTCGGACACTTAACCGACTGACCCACCCAGGCACCCCTTAAATAGTTTTTCTTAAGGCAAAGCATCCCATTGCTCCATAGCAAGAAACCACAGAATTTTTCTTAGTAGCATAAAAAATTTTCTTTTCTTAACCTGGGGAACCAAATCACTAAAAAAGAAGAAAAAAAAGCAGAAGCTAACAAATTCGAGTTTATTAGATCTCACAGAAATTGAGACACAGCAGAGTGACCTACTTATACATGGGAAAATGGACCAGAAATTTGTGCAAAATAAGTTTGCAGGATCATAAGAAACACTCTAAAGTACTGCTGAAGACTGAACTCTGGAGTCTGACTCTTCAGGCTCACATCTCAGCTCCACTGCTTACTAATTCTATAACTATATTCCCATTCATTTAAGCTTTCTGTACCTCAAGTTTCTTCATCTGTAAAATTGGGGATAATAATAGTACCTGCCCTATATGGTTGCTGTGAGGATTAAATGAGTTAATAGTTCATATAAAATGCTCAGAACTATGAGTGCCCGATGTTCTATATTACCTTTGAATAATGAGATATGCTTATATTCAATATACAAAGCATATTTTGAAGAGTTTTTTTATTTTAAGGAAAAATTATTGCTTATTTCCAAAATTTTTTCTAAGAATAAATTCCATTTCTTTTCAGAATACATTCTCCTCTAGCTATTAAATATTAATCGTCAACCATAATACACTGAACAAATCTCAGCCAGTTCATTTATAGTACATCTTAGTTCTTCTTTGATTAATATTCCAATTTCTTGAACAGAGTCTGGAATATTATCAACACTTACATAAGTCTAAGTGCAGAGTTCCACCATTTTCTATTTTCAGGAAACCTCAAATTATCTCCAGTTTGTCAGCTTTAAGACAAAAAATAAATCAGTATCAGGGAGAAAAGTAGGAATAAAGAGAAGAAAGTACCCGATATCTGAAATGTGCACTTTTGTTGTGTGCTCAGTTATATTTCCAGGTTACACGGAGGCAGAATTTGCAAAAATATCAGATTTTGAGGCCCAGTTTCTAAAAAATGGAAGCACTACAAAGTCTGAGAACAGCCAAGAAGAAAACAAGAAAACATTAAAGAAGGAAGACTTATTTACAGATTCTGATGAATCCTTGACCTTGAAGCACAAAACAAAGTCAAAAAGCAAAGCAAAAGGCATTGAGATGGAGGAAGGTGAGATACATATGCAGGTCGAGGAAAAGAAGAGTGATACCAAGGCACTAGGAGAAGAAGACCAAATAAAGGTGCATGAGATGGGAATACCAAAAGGAAAGGAAGCCCAAGTAAAGAGGAGAGAATCCAGAATACCACAAGAACAGGAGGCCCAAGTAAAGATGAATGACACTGGGATAACACAGGGACAGGGGTTTCAAATAAAGAAGAGTGAGTCCAGAATACAAGGACAGGAGTTTCAAGTAGAGAAGAATGAGTCTGGAATGCCACAAGCACAAGGGTCCCAAGTAAAAAAAGAGAGTTCTGAAAATAAAGGAAAGCAGGGTAAAGACAAGGGAGATGGAAGGAAAAATAAAGATACAGAAGAAAATGATACTATGAAGAAAATTGATGAAGGAAAGCACAAAGTTAAAGGAAAGAAAGAATCAGAAGTCAAGGGTAAAAAACAGAAAGTTCAGTAAGGGGCAAAGGCAAGTAAAGGAAGGAAGCACAACAAAAACGTGGAAAGAGTAAAGGGTAAATTACACGAAGGCTCATAAGTCAACTGATTATTATGATTTCTATTCTCCAAATACAAGTCATAACCCAGTTATTGCCTAAATGGATCACAATTATAGAACCCCTTTAATTTATACATCTACGGAGTGTCTACTGGAGTTCTTTCACCATTTTTAGTTCTCTCAGCCACAAATCTCAGCTTCAAATTCTTTGTTTTCTGTTGATACTTATGTCTTTGTCAAGAAAGACTGAATACTTTCTGAAATAAACATTTTGATTAAAGAAATGTATAATTTTCTTTGACAACTATTATATTAATTCAGTGACAGCCTAACCAACCAACCAACGAGGCTTCTCATAAAGCATTTTGATTAAAGAAATGTATAATTTTCCTTTAACGACTACTATATTAACTCATTGATAGCCCAACCAATCAACCAATCAATGCTCCTGTAGTAGGCTTGAATGTTCATGAGCACTCTTCTAGCAATAATGGGTACATAAAAATATAAGTCGGGAGGCGCCTGGGTGGCTTAGTCGGTTAAGCGTCCGACTTTCGCTTAGGTCATGATCTCGCGGTTCGTGGGTTCGAGCCCCGCGTCAGGCTCTGTGCTGACTGCCAGCTCAGAGCCTGGAGCCTGTTTCAGTCAGTGACTCCCTCTCTCTCTGACCCTCCTCTGCTCAAACTGTCTCTCTCTCTCTCCTAGAAATAAATAAAACATTAAAAAACAAATTAAAAAAAAATAAGTCAGACTCCTTGCAATCAAGTAAGGTTTAATGCATACAGTGAAACAATATGTATATACATGACAATTTTTTTTAAAGTAAAATCTAAGTGTCAAAATGCAGTTTAGATGGATAGTATAATACAAGTTAGCAACCTCTTGGAATGAAAAGATAAAGGGGATAACAACTTCATGGAGAAGGGAATAGTAGTATATATGTCTCAAAAGGTGGATAAGATGTTGATACACACTGAGTGAGGTAGAAACACTACAAAAAAGGCAAAGGGATTCAAAACTGCCACACCACACTCTAGGTGAAGTAGGCAATTTTATCATTGTAGCAGGCTGATGAGAAGCACTCTGGAGTACAATTCTGAAAAGGAAGCTTAGAAGAATATACTGAAGGAATAGGAAAAACAAACCAGGAATTTATATTTTACTCATCAGGCAACTGGAAGCCTTCTAGGGTATTTGTGAAGTAGAGTTAGATGAATAAGGTTGCATTACCGAAGTGTTAATTTTGTGACTGTACAAAATAGACTAAAGAGGAGAAATGCCATAGGTAGCAAATCAGTAAAGAGGTGCTTGGGGTAATAACTGATGGAAACAATAAATAGAAGGGGTAGATATGAACTATTTTTTCAAAGAAGAAATCACTTCTTCATGATGACTAACCAAATATGAGTAAGGAAAAGAAATGAAAACAATTGATGACTCCATAACTTTGAAACTGGGTGACAGAAAACAACTAGGACCTAGTTTGTGGCACAGGGAGGGGATAACAAATTGTTGAGTTTGAGGGAACAAACTAGCACTTGTCATCTGATAGGGGTCTGAAGTCAATCCAGTAGAGATCATTTGAAGCCACACAGTAAATTAGTTCCCCAAAAGAGAAAGGACAAAGCTAGCAAAAGCATAGGTCCAAGAACTGAGCCTGTTAGATGTAATACATAGAAGAAAAAAATTAAGGTATAGGAAGATGTAAGGAAAACCTGTATAACAAATGTTCTGATAACCAAAGATAATAAGAATTTAAAGAAAGGATGTTTAAAGGATAGCCAAGATTTCATGGAGAAGGAGGATTGAAAGAGATCATTGTAATTGCTATCTGGAGATGACTGATGAACTTGTAAAGAGCACTTTCCAAAGAGAGGTAACCAGGGGAAGGAATGGAAGAAGGCAGAAAATAAAAACACAAGCAAGTAGTTGCAGGATATACCTTCCAATAAAACCAATTTTAGTCTGCTTTTTAAGTATTGTTATTAGGAATATCATTTGTATAGTACTATATTCTGTGAGAGTTGGCCCCTACTCTGAATATTACATTCAGTTCTGTCATGGATGTGAATAAAGTACAGGGCCTTCAGAAGAGAAGGGCTATGATGCAAAGAGATTCAAGTCCATTCAAGTGAGCAGTTTCACCTAGTGCAGAACACAGAACACAATGAGAATTATTTTCATATTCTAGATTATGATTATAGATTAGGTTAGAATTTTTGTATGGTTCCCAAGAAAATAAGGAAATAAGAGTAGAAGAAATAAGAAATTAAGGAAATAAGAAAATAAGGAAAATAAGAATAGAAGGTAATAGATTTTTATCTCAGTATAAGGGGAAGTGGGATGCCTAAAAGTGCTGAAGGGAGAGCTTAAGATGGCAATAATCACTGGCTGGAAATGCTGCAGAGGAGATTCTTAGGAATCACCTGGGTAGTTGGAATAGATTATCTTTATGGTTCCTTTAAAATATAAGGCCATAGGGGTGCCCGGGTGGCTTAGTCGGTTACGCGTCCGACTTTCGCTCAGGTCATGACCTCGCGGTTCGTGGGTTCGAGCCCCGCTTCGGGCTCTGTGCTGACTGCCAGCTCAGAGCCTGGAGCCTGTTTCAGAGTCTGTCACTCCCTCTCTCTCTGACCCTCCCCTGCTCATGCTGTCTCTCTCCCTCCTAGAAATAAATAAAATATTTAAAAAACATATATATATAAGGCCATAACTCAAAGTATAAAACTCTTTTGGACTAACCAGATGTCTTCCAAGGAACTTTTTTTTTAATGGCTTATTTATTTTTGAGACAGAGAGAGCACGAGCTGGAGAGAGGCAGAGAGAGAGGAAGGCACGGAATCCGAAACAGGTTCCAAGCTCTGAGCTGTCAGCACAGAGCCCGATGAGGGGCTTGAACACACAGACCACGATATCATGACCCGAGCCAAAGTCAGACACTTAACCGACTGAGCCACCCAGGTGTCCCTCAAGGAATCTTTTCACACTAATCTAATATGCTAGGATTCTTTAGAGAGGTCTCTCTCCCCCCCCCGCCCCACACACACACAAAGAGAAATCAGACTTTTGCCCATGCTGCCCAAAGTATAAAACATTTCATAAGTATACCTAACCACAAGCTGAAGAAACTAGCTCCATAGCTTCTAGCACAATCCAAACCACTATGTGGATCTCTACAGTGTGCCCAGAGTCCTGCCACAGGTCACAAAACCCTGAGGCCTTTGATGAACCACATAGATTTAGCAAAGCTGAACTGAAAAAAAAAAAAAAAAAAAAAAAGAGGGGGGAGATGGGAGGACAAATATGAACATGAAATTTTTATATTATAAATTACTTCTATGTCTCTGGAATATACACATAAGAGATTTTATCATTATTAGTTGACACATCTCTTACATGTATTATGCTATTATCAGGGATAAAATGTGACCAGAAGGCTTTTCACATAGTTAAAAATATTTAGGTTTTCACAATCCCATATAATTTTTCTACATCTCTCTCTTGTCTATCTGGCAGCAAGCTAATAGGTTTTAGAAGACTATAACAAAGATAGCTGTTCTCAGATTTCTGCTATAAAATAGGGATCCTATCAAGGCAACTACTGAAAAGCAGTATATAGACTTCAACGAATGTGCTTAGCTGACTACATATCCAAATGTATACCCCACAGAACAAAGAATTCAGAAGAAATGGATAGATTGAATCTCGCCTGTATCTTCTCCATAACTTCTAACTTGCAGTCAAAACATTTTCATTCCCCCTAGGTCTTGAAGGCAAATAAGTCATACAGTAGGAAACTCCAACTGTGAAAACTATATATGCTATTCTCTAAAGGCTACCAAGATGCAGGGCAGTTAAAAACAATTGCTAAATTTCCCTTAAAGAAACAGACATGAAAGTCTTAAAGGATCCCAGAAAAAGGAAGGGGAGCTATCAAAAACATACTATGTTTAACAAAATAATGCAAATACTGAGATCATGACCTGAGCCAATGTCAGATGCTTAACTGACTGAACCACTCAGGTGCCTCATCTGTTGTGTGATTCTTAATTTAAATCTAGCATAAATTCTTGTTTTCATTTTGGAACTTCAAAGTTTGCTGTAGACAAATTCAGCTTTTACCGGTTACAAAAAAATCCATTTCACCTTCAGTTTTGAAAGATACTGTTTCTGAGTATAGAATTCTAGGTTGAGTTTTTTCCCAGCACTTTTAAAGATGCTATTCCATTGACTTTGACTTTAGATGTTTCTGACAATATATCTACAACAATATGTATGTTTGTTTTTCTGTGTGTAAAGTGACTTTTTTCCTCAGACTGTTTTAAAGATTTTGTCTTTACTGCTGAACTTATGAAGTAGCTTGGTGTGGCTTTCTTCATTTCCTTCTCCTTGAGATTTATTGAGTATCACATGGACCTATGAATTTACAGTTTTCCACAAATCTGAAAATTTTCTCAGCCATTATTTTGTTAAGTATTTCTTTTCCGTCTCTACCTCCATTCCCTATCATTTCTGGAATTGTGGAATTACAATTCTAGAATAACACATAAATTAGACTGTTCAGTACTGTCCCAAAGATCACTAACCCTGTTTATTTTTCTTTTCTTCCTTGCCCTTGTATTGCATAGTTATCTATTGTAACGTTTTCTTTTTTTTTTAATATTTTTATTTATTTCTAGGAGAGAGAGAGAGAGAGACAGCGTGAGCAGGGGAGGGTCAGAGAGAGAGGGAGACACAGACTCCGAAACAGGCTCCAGGCTCTGAGCGGGCAGTCAGCACAGAGCCTGACACGGGGCTTGAACCCACAAACTGCGAGATCATGACCTAAGCGAAAGTCGGATGCT